GCAGTTCTCTTGTCTGTTACCTTTGCAAGCCCAGGTGGCTGTCCAATCACAGACTTCCCAATGCAGCTCAATGAGAAGTCTTTGTAAGGCTGGTGCTTTGAGCAGAAAACTAATAAACTAGAGAAGTGTACCGATAGGGACTGGGATAGATGAAATGTACTAAATAGTCGTTGCCAGAAATCCACAGAATGGTTGCCAGAGGTAAAATAAAAAAATAATATAAAATAAATTTTATTAAATCTAATACAAATAACATGTGGTGAAATAGGTGCTCGTGTACAAAACAGTAAGGAAAAGAAGAAATAATGATAAATGTAGAACTAATACAGGGAGTGCAGAATTATTAGGCAAATGAGTATTTTGACCACATCATCCTCTTTATGCATGTTGTCTTACTCCAAGCTGTATAGGCTCAAAAGCCTACTACCAATTAAGCATATTAGGTGATGTGCATCTCTGTAATGAGAAGAGGTGTGGTCTAATGACATCAACACCCTATATCAGGTGTGCATAATTATTAGGCAACTTCCTTTCCTTTGGCAAAATGGGTCAAAAGAAGGACTTGACAGGCTCAGAAAAGTCAAAAATAGTGAGATATCTTGCAGAGGGATGCAGCACTCTTAAAATTGCAAAGCTTCTGAAGCGTGATCATCGAACAATCAAGCGTTTCATTCAAAATAGTCAACAGGGTCGCAAGAAGCGTGTGGAAAAACCAAGGCGCAAAATAACTGCCCATGAACTGAGAAAAGTCAAGCGTGCAGCTGCCACGATGCCACTTGCCACCAGTTTGGCCATATTTCAGAGCTGCAACATCACTGGAGTGCCCAAAAGCACAAGGTGTGCAATACTCAGAGACATGGCCAAGGTAAGAAAGGCTGAAAGACGACCACCACTGAACAAGACACACAAGCTGAAACGTCAAGACTGGGCCAAGAAATATCTCAAGACTTATTTTTCTAAGGTTTTATGGACTGATGAAATGAGAGTGAGTCTTGATGGGCCAGATGGATGGGCCCGTGGCTGGATTGGTAAAGGGCAGAGAGCTCCAGTCCGACTCAGACGCCAGCAAGGTGGAGGTGGAGTACTGGTTTGGGCTGGTATCATCAAAGATGAGCTTGTGGGGCCTTTTCGGGTTGAGGATGGAGTCAAGCTCAACTCCCAGTCCTACTGCCAGTTCCTGGAAGACACCTTCTTCAAGCAGTGGTACAGGAAGAAGTCTGCATCCTTCAAGAAAAACATGATTTTCATGCAGGACAATGCTCCATCACACGCGTCCAAGTACTCCACAGCGTGGCTGGCAAGAAAGGGTATAAAAGAAGAAAATCTAATGACATGGCCTCCTTGTTCACCTGATCTGAACCCCATTGAGAACCTGTGGTCCATCATCAAATGTGAGATTTACAAGGAGGGAAAACAGTACACCTCTCTGAACAGTGTCTGGGAGTCTGTGGTTGCTGCTGCACGCAATGTTGATGGTGAACAGATCAAAACACTGACAGAATCCATGGATGGCAGGCTTTTGAGTGTCCTTGCAAAGAAAGGTGGCTATATTGGTCACTGATTTGTTTTTGTTTTGTTTTTGAATGTCAGAAATGTATATTTGTGAATGTTGAGATGTTATATTGGTTTCACTGGTAATAATAAATAATTGAAATGGGTATATATTTGTTTTTTGTTAAGTTGCCTAATAATTATGCACAGTAATAGTCACCTGCACACACAGATATCCCCTAACATAGCTAAAACTAAAAACAAACTAAAAACTACTTCCAAAAATATTCAGCTTTGATATTAATGAGTTTTTGGGTTCATTGAGAACATGGTTGTTGTTCAATAATAAAATTAATCCTCAAAAATACAACTTGCCTAATAATTCTGCACTCCCTGTATAATAGTTATTAAAATATCCCTATTGCCACTTGAATACTGGTGTAAGATACCATTAGTCTATGTGACTCTGATAGGTTAATTCTTGCAGTATAAGGAGACACTGGCAATGGAATATAGTGATACAGTGACTATTCTTGCACCAGTGTATCACCTGCATGAAAAGTAAAATCCACCTTAGATCCTCAGGTGGATCTAGAAATATATGTGGCCTGTGGTATGGATTAGAGGAATACGTTTTCACATAGAGCCTAGGGTGGATTTAGAGATCCTGTAAGTCTGTATTGCTAAACTTGGCTACTAAGATTTAAAGTAGGTGTTCATAAGAAATAGGAAGAGTAGATGCTATTCTAATGAAAAACAAAATAGAAGTATGCTGCAGAGCCAGTTAATTGTGGTATATATCTTCACACGTCTGTGCCTGGATGTTCAGCTTCGTATGAGTAGAATCTCCCTTAATTTTTATATCACTCTAATGTTCTAGGAAATAGTTAAATCGTTAGAATATCCGTAGAACAATTTAGCATAGAAGCAAACCATGACTAGTATTGCACAGATTCTAATGTCCCCTTCCAAGACGCAGGATAGGGGAGTAGTGACTGTGTAAGGTGGGTGAATAAACGGGCTAGATGGCTAAGTAACTGTTAATCTAGAATGATAGTACCATCTCTGGGCAAGGAGTGCTGTGAAATGCAAGTGGACAGAGCACAGCTCCCAGATAGTGCAGAACCGGTAACCCACCAAACGTTGCTTATATAAAGCTGCTTCCCTCCCATGCCTTTGAGGGCACCTGTCACTTAATCCCACTATGTAATAACAACCTGATGTCTAAGGAGTGGAGGCAGAAAGGTACGAAAGAATAAAACATAATAAATATAAATAGTTAAAAGCAATAGCGCGGTGGCAAGTCAGAGTGCTAGTTCAAGGTCTGGAGAACAGCGCAAAAGACCCCTTGACGCGCGTGTTTTGTCCGACCTGGCTCGTCAGAAGGGAACCGGTCGGTACAGAGCACTGAATTGAAATAGGAGCAGAAGTTATCTCGTTGGTTCAGTGTGAAGGTTTCTGATCGGTAAGTTTGAAATTCGTATAGTATAACGTGATAAATTGAAGTGAGATAAATTAACCCCTTCCTGGATGAATAGAAGTGTTATAAAACTTATCTTTACTTAGAGTCTGTATGTAACTAATATGTCACATAAATGAAGCTTTTCATTTATGAAATAACCAGATCAGCTGGTAATCGGTGGAAAACTAAATTTCTTGATATTAAGATCCAATAGTTTCTTATTTCTTGGTGAAACAAGGGGGGAGAATGAAATCGCTTATGGAATATGTTGCTCATAATGGTGTAGCCCTAAGAGTTGAACAAAGTCAGAAGAACTAGAAGCTTATTGACCCATATAGAGATATAGTAGCTAATTCAAGAGATACATTTGTCTCTCAAACACAGTAACCATGTTGCATTCTTACAAAATGATTGAAAGAATCAGAGATACCGTAGTACACAGTGTGTGGATGTACTAAGGTATTGTAGCTTAATTATGCGAAAAGGAAAGTTAGGTTCATTGTGAAAAATAATACTAAATGATAATAAGGATTTAGACAGTCTCAATTTGAATATGAAGAAATAATATTTTATTTTACTTGTACTAGTGTGCATGGATTTTCCATCACTGTTAGTGTTATTATTATTATTGGTAACGGTTAGTGGCGTACACACAACCCATGGGGCCCTGGCGCAGGCACGACCCCTGCGACCGTGGTATGTACGCCAGTGCATGCAGATACGCATACACTTAAAGGACCACTACAGACACCCAGATCACATCAACTCAATGAAGTGGTCTGGGTGCCAGGTCCCTCTAGTTTTAACCCTGCAGCTGAAAACATAGCAGTTTCAGAGAAACTGCTATGTTTCACTGAGGGTTATTCCAGCCTCTAGTGGCTGTCTAAGCGGTTGATCTAGGTCTTATTCTTCGAGTAGGGACAGTAATCTTTGGTAGTGTTTGTAATCATCATAGGAGAGACCCGCTTCTATAGCTAATTTATGTTTTTTCGTTTTATGTACTACATTAAAGGACCACTATAGTACCAGGAAAACAAACTTGTTTTCCTGACACTATAGTGTTAATAGGTCCCCCCACCCTCATGGTCCCCCTCCCGCCAGGCTCGAGGGGTTAAGGGGTTAAACACTTACTGGGGACTCTCCTCCCTTTTCAGACATCATCCGCCGAATGCGCATGTGCGGCAAGAGCCACGCGCGCATTCAAACAGTCCATAGGAAAGCATTTCTCAATGCTTTCCTATGGACATCCAGTGTCTTCTCACTGTGAAAATCACAGTGAAAAGGGCAGAAGCGCCTCTAGCGGCTGTCAGTGAGACAGCCACTAGAGGCTGGATTAACCCTAATGTAAACATAGCAGTTTCTCTGAAACTGCTATGTTTACAGCAGGCAGGGTTAACCCTAGATGGACCTGGCACTCAGATCACTTAATTGAGCTGAAGTGGTCTGGGTGCCTGTAGTGGTCCTTTAAGTGCTAATTTTCAACTGAATAAGTTGGTGTCCTTGATCCAGTAGACTGTATTAATGTTTGGAGTGGGTACAAAGGAAAGACCCTTATTAAGAAGTGATACATGATGTGGTTCAAGTGAGAAGCTTGATAGATTAACTATTTGATTTTGATTATTATTCATTGGATCAGGTGTGTTCTGGTTTGTACCCCCATTTTTTTTCTGTCCCTTAGTCTGCCACCTAGTGGAAGTGGTCAGTCCTCCTCTAAAAAAGGAGAGGAGGAAGTTTCTGTATTTCTGTCAGTTTGGTTCGTAGTTTCTTGATTAACTGTTAATGATGTGTATGGAAAAGTTACACTTTTATTGGTTTTTCTCAAGATGCTTCTTCCTTTATAATTATCTCTGTTTCGCTGGTTTCTTGTTTGTCTGTAAGAGCCAGAATCAGAATCAGTCCAATCCGTACTGCCAGATGTGGAACTGTTTCTACTTGAAGTAAGAGTTCTGGGTAGTGTTGTCCCGAACTGTTTGCCGAACGGTTCGCCGTGAACGGTTCGCCGCGGACTCATCATTGAGTAAACTTTGACCCTGTACCTCACAGTCAGCAGACAAATTCCAGCCAATCAGCAGCAGACCCTCCCTCCCAGACCCTCCCTCCCAGACCCTCCCACATCCTGGACAGCTCACTAAGAATGCAGCTTCACAATGGATGCTGTCCAGGAGGTGGGAGTGTCTGGGAGGGAGGGTCTGCTGCTGATTGGCTGGAATGTGTCTGCTGACTGTGAGTTACAGGGTCAAAGTTTACTCAATGATGAGTCCGCGGCGAACAGTTCGGGACAACATTAGTTCTGGGTCTTTATGGTCTCTTACGAATGTTACGTGTTTTTTTTTCTCCATTATATGTATTTTAAAAGAGTCTAGATTTTTGGTGGGTTTGTTTTCCATAAGGGGGAATTCTGTTTGATCATGAAATGTTTTCACGTTACCTAGTTCTTTTTCTAAATTCTGGTTTGTGATTTCAAGATTTTGTGTCTCAAGTTTAATCAGAAATTGCATTAGTTTTGCAGAGCATTCAAGTAAGATGCTATTCCATTCCTGGATCTGCCCCTCAGTGGTTACCTTGTCTGGAAGTGGGATTTCTGGTCTTAATCAGCTTCACTGAGCTAACCAAACCAGGAAGTAACATGACTGGTTGTCTGCCTGAAAGTCAAGGGGGTGCAACCAAATTATTTTCTATTGAAATGTGCACATTTTGCAAAATAAAAAAAGAGGCGCCCTCTCCACTCATAAAGCTATTCATCAGTCTAAAGTGCTTTAGGGATCTTGAGTGTCCCTGTGCATTAGTATCCAGTAATTTTAACATTGTCCAAGAACCAAGGAGTATATGTATTTCCGTTGTAAGAGCGCAGCAAATAATAAGTACAATCATGTAATCACAATGGAAAACTAGAGAAAAATGTCTGCTTAAGGTTTACTGTATATTGTGTTATCTTGTAAGTCAACCTGGAAAAAAAAAGCAACCAGAGAAGGAATCTTACCCAATAAAAGTATTGTTTGTGCCCACTAGGAGGGTTCACTCTATACAAATCCCTGCCTCTCTAAACAATTTTCTATGAAAACCATGAATACTGCTATCTGTAAGTTCTCAGCCTCCATGTTCCTGATGATGTCATGCTCCTGCTTGATGATGTCAGGTGTTAAACTACATATCCCTTAAATCTTTATGGTGCAGATTTTGTCTGTTTCTCCAGTGGAACAGAAATGTGAAATGCCTAAATAATGTACTATTGGTGCAGCACATCCATATCTTCCTTTCACACAGTGGCATATCTAGGTCACTTAGAAGACATGTGCAGTTTGTTTTGTTTCAGTGAAAATGTTTTATTTCTGATCCATTTTGTTTCATAAGGATAGCAAATTAGGGACATATTAACTAAACAACTGAAACTGCAAAATTAAGAAAACATGCACAGATACATACACTGACACCCACACAAATACTGAGACACATGCATGGAAACATACACTGACACACAAACACTGGCACACATAAACAGAAATGTACACTGACATACACAGATACATACACCAACAAACACAAACACTGTGCTGCAGAACCCCATGGCACTTTCTTCCCTGGTGGTCCAGTGCTGCTGCTGCTGGCTCTTATACATTTCCTACTGGTCCACTGGTGATATGTGATGCTCTGCACCCCTTCCGGTTACCTTCTATCATATCCTCTCCCTTCCATTTCCTGTGCTTATATTTGAGTCGGAGTGCATGCTGGGAATTCGTCCGACTGCACTATTGCTCACTAACTGAGCTTTGGTGCCGCGAGGGAGAGGATATGAAAGAGTGTTACTGGAATTGGAGCACAGCATCACAAATCACAACTGGACCAACAGGGACCTGGATTAGAAGTGGAATCAGTGTTGAACTCTATGCAGGGCGGCAGCAGCAGGTGAGCAAACCAAGTAAAGTAAGCTGCCTGCTGCTGCCCTGCTTGCACTTTTTATCTCTGCCTGGTCCCCGTGACAGGCGGAACTGCAGGGCCTTGGAGCAGTGGTGACATTTGTGACCCTGGTCCTTCTGCCACTATTTGTATACTCTAGCTTTACTAGGGTGCAGTTTTCTCTCTGTCTAGAGCAGCACTATACACCAGTAATGTCAGCGTGTGTTACCTTTACTTATCTCTGTTACATGATGCCAAATATCAGTTTACATTGTGTCTGGGAATTATGTGTCACAATTTATAGTGTGCTGAAACATTGTATAGGTACTATCTCTCTCTCATACTTCCTTTGGTCACATTTTGTGTAAACCTGAAATAGTTTACACTGTTCTGTACCTATTTATTTATTACACTAAAATAAACTAAAATAACTTTAGATAGTTCTTAAAATCTGTTGCAACACCTAAACACGGCAGACCTAAGGACGCCAATATATTGCCAACCACAGACGTGACACTACACATATGGGACAAGAATAAACAAATTTGCTGCTCACAAGTCCCACACTCTAGAGCAATGCCAATATCCGCCCTAACCTCCATGATCCCGCACTTTAATTATAGAATTTGGGAACGACATGGAATACACCACATACATCAGCTGTACCAAGATACTCACCTTCTAACTTTCACAGAGGCACAAAGCCGATACGGCCTCCCGACCATAGCTTATTTTTCACACAGACAAATCCACTCATGGTTGACAAAACACCAAGTTGAAAAAAGTGACACTGTAAATGAACTTCGGCTGACGAGCTTCGAGAAAACCCTACTCAAATTGATACACAACACATAAAACCTTCTCAACACTATATTCCGGCATTTTGCAGCATAATCTCACACTCGGGTACTCCTTTGTTGTAGCATGGGAAAGAGACCTATGGCAAACCTTACCTGAGGTAACGTGGAGGAAGATCTTTCTTACTCCCAAAAACCTCACACTCGGCGCCAACCACACAGAACTATCCAGAAAGATTTTGTACTAATGGTACTTAGTACCCACACGCCTCAAACGAATATATCCCGAGGCCTCTGACAAATGTTGGAGTTGCACCTCTGCAGCCGGATCAATGATCCATATATGGTGGACATGCTCAGTATTGCTTCCCTACTGGGCAGCGATAACCAGGTTGATCCAAGACCGCACAGGCATTCACATACCACAAACCCCAGATTGTCCACAACTACCCACCCAAACTTCCTAAAGCAACTAGGTATCTAATTTACCAGATAAACATAGCGGCTCTAGCTCTGATTAGCAGATCATGGAAAAAATTAGAGGCACCAACCATGCCACAATGTAAACAGCTCATAAACACAACCCGACTCTACGAACTAGCAAGCAGAACAGCTCTTACCACCAGAACAACTTTCTGGAGAAAAGCCTGGCAAGTCTGGGAGACCTTTGAAAGCAGCGACCCCCCCTGCCATGCTATAGAACACTGTTCGAAGTCTCGACAGCCAAGTTCATCATCATAGATACCATACTATCTGTACGTTTACATGTAATAATAATACAAAAAAGGAATGTGTGTCAAGAGGTATCATACTTCCGGATCAGCAAGAATATACTATGATACAAAGTATTTTTACAAAGCATAGAAACTCTCCTTTACAGCTCTTGAAAGCTCTATATAGGACATTTTTCGATTAAAACAGTTATTGGATAACTCGAGCTTAGGCTCTCTACCCTGCTACCCTTCCCCTCTCCCCCCCCAAATCCCAGTTAAAAACATTTAAACAAAATCTGTTTAAAGTGGACAAATGTGTTGAGCATGTATGTAATCACATAACGGAAACATTTTCTTTCTGTAACCATAGAAACTGCGTAACCTGCAAATTTGTACAAATGATGTCCACTGTGAACTTGAAAATTGCTTAATAAAAAAAATAAAAAAAATCTGTTGCAAGAAATTCTAGAACTTCCTATGGTATGGTGCAGGCTTCTATTTCAAGATATCTGATTGGTGCACAGCATACTTGTCTACAGACCACAAATCACATCACATAAAGAAGCTCCATTCTGTACTTTAATTATCATTATTATTAATATAAGTTGTAAAGTGTTGACACATTCTACCTCAATGGATATTTTTTTTTAAAGAGAATGGTAACACAGCTTACAATGACAGACAGAATCTGATAGTTTTGTAGTTTTTATTAAGAGCCCTGCCGCAACCTTGAATCTGAAACTCAAGGAGGCTAATTAAATATTAGTTACCTGTAGAGTGTATGTCAGTTTATTAAACCTGGAATTTTATAGTGTAATCGTATTGGGGCTAGTGGGCTGATTTGTTATCCTCTTTAATTATATGAATGTTTAAATGATGTTTAGAAAGTAGTTGAAAGTGTAAGGGCATGAGAACAGCACATGAAAAGAATAGTTTTTTGTTTTGTTTTTGCAGTAAGGGTAGAGATGTAAGAGAGAGCAGGGCAGTTTGGGATTTGTAAGTGAGGGTAAAGTGTTTATGTAATATTCTTAATTAGATTTGGCACAAGTAGAGGGCTGTATACTGTGAATCATCAGAATCATCAGAAAAATATGTATTGCAGCATTTTTTGTATATTAGAGTTTAGTTAAGTGTTTACAGACTTGGCATGTGGGAAAGGGGAAGTTGAACAGCGTTAATTTGAGCCAAGAATTTCAGACATGTAAAGCAAAGGGACACTAGAGTCACCAGAACCACTAAAGCTTAATATAGTGGTTCTGGCATCGATGGCATGTCCCTGCAGGCTTTTTAATGTAAATTCTGCCTAGTAACATAGTTTACATTGCTGCCTACTAACGCCTCCATGTGCAGTAACTCAGACGACCACTAGAGGTGCTTCCTAGTGGTGCACTGTGTGCCACACCTACATTCAATGTCTCCCTGCACTGCATGGAGACACTGAATGCTCCCCATTGTATCAGTGCATCTCTGTGAAGAGTAGGAGCATCATCAATTTGCAAGGAGTTAGGCATGAATGTGCAATAGCCTCCCAAAGCTTTCCAATGGCTGAGATCATAAAGATTGATGATATCAGCAATGGTGGCTGGACCAGCCCTGGTGAGACTAGGGAGGTAATGGAGGAAAGGGTAATAAAATAAGTTTTTACTCTACACTGATGGTGGGCCAGGGACCTAGACTGCTGTAAACTGTATTTCTAACACTATAGTGGTTCTTTAGGCTTTAGAAGTGATCAAAAAACAAACCTCAAAATTGCCACAATAGTGTAACACTGTTAAAATGAAATTTATTATAATAACCAAAAAGCTGCTCGCTAA